GGAGGGGCCACCTGGCCTGAGTAATGAGAGGAAACAGGGTAGTATAGAGACCTCCCAGACCTCTGGCCTGGGTATTGGGGTGCATGTGGAAAAGAGGCATCTCATTCCCCAGCCATGAGCTTGCACCCATATGCTCAGGTCCCCAGCCTTGGTTTCCCCAATGGGGCCAATAGCATGGGTCGACCTGTAGAGCCCTAATAATGGGGGGAGGCAGTGCTAAACTGGGAACCAGAAGTGGCACACTTCCGGGAAGGAGTGCCAGCTGGGATGGCTATGACAATGACGTCACCTCCCTTCTCGGTCCCTCAGATAACCTGCACTACAACGTCAACAGTCCCAAGCACCGCGCTGCCACACTGGGTATGCAGAGGGCCGAGGCGCCCCAGGGATCGGGGTCCTTCCAGCCCCACTGCGGGCAGCCCCAGCCTGGTGCTGGGTGGAGCCGAGTAAGGCCCTATGAGCCAGTGCTCACATCTGGCTGGCCAGCAAGGCAGCTGCAGTGTCCTCAAGGGGAAACCAGAAGTGGTCATCTCCCTCCTGCCAAGTTTGGGGAAGATGCATGAAAGGCATCCCCAGCTGGGGCCAAGACTCAGTGGGGGCTGACAGATGCCAGCAGTTCCCAACCTGGAATGTACTTTCACCCTCAGCCACAGACCTGTCCACTGTGGCAGGAAAGGAAGGGGCTCCTAGAGGCTGGAGCTCTCACAGGGTAGAACCCCAGATCTCCCACTTCCCCAAGTCCTGAACCTCTGAAAGAGGAGGGCTGGAGCCTGAATCCTAGGTTGGAGGGAGAAGGGTTAAGGCATGGACCCCTGAGTCTGAGAGAGGAGGGCTGGGCCTGGACTCCTGGGTCTGAGGGAGGAGGGCTGGGCCTGGACTCCTGGGTCTGAGGGAGGAGGGCTGGGCCTGGACTCCTGGGTCTGAGGGAGGAGGGCTGGGATCTGGATTCCTGGGTTTGAGTGAGGAGGGCTGGGGTCTGGACCCCTGGATCTGAGGGAGGAGGGCTGGGTCTGGACCCCTGGGTCTGAGGGCGGAGGGCTGGGTCTGGACTCCTGAGTCTGAGGGAGAAGGGCTGGGTCTGGAGTCCTGGGTCTGAGGGAGGAGGGCTGGGCCTGGACTCCTGGGTCTGAGGGAAGAGGGCTAGGCCTGGACTACTGGGTCTGAGGGAGGAGGGCTGGGTCTGGACTCCTGAGTCTGAGGGAGAAGGGCTGGGTCTGGAGTCCTGGGTCTGAGGGAGGAGGGCTGGGCCTGGACTCCTGGGTCTGAGGGAGGAGGGCTGGGCCTGGACTCCCGGGTGTCTGAGGGAGTAGGGCTGAGACCTGGATTCCTGGGACTGACTGAGGAGGACTGGGGCATGGACCCCTGGGACTTGAGGGAGGAGGACTTTTTTCTAGATTCCTGCACTGAAGGGAAGAGAGCTGGGGCCTGGACCTTTGGTACTGAGGGAGGAGGGATGGGGTGTGGACTCCTAGGATGGAGGGAGGAGGCTATGCTGACTGGGTCTTCCTCTCTGCTGCAGACTGGCGGGCCATGCCACCGCCCAGCCCCTCTTTGCACTACTCCACACTGTCCTGCTCCCGGTCCTTCCACAACCTCTCACATCTTCCCCCATCTTATGAGGCTGCTGTGAAATCAGAACTGAACCGCTACTCCTCTCTCAAGAGACTAGGTGAGTCTGGGGAAGGGGAGCTCAGTGAATGGGCCTGGGGTTACATCCAGTACCATGGACAGTAGTCCAACAGGCCACCAAAGAATTGGATCTCTTTGGCTTTTCTCCAAGTTTATTCTGTAACCTTTTGGGTTGGTTTGGGTTTTGTTTTTTTGGTGATCCTCCTACCTCAGTTTCCCAAGTGCTGGAGTTGCAGCTATGAGCCACCATGCTGTGCTTAGCCTGGGGGTTCTTGCTGATCAAACTTCAGGGCCTTGTGCAGCTGGGGTGGAATATAAAGAAGCCCAGGGGGGGTGGTTCTGGATTGGCAAGGGACCCTCTCCGTCTTTTTCCCTCCTCCCCCAGCTGAAAAAGATCTGGATGAGGCCTATCTGAAGCGCAGACACCTGGAGATGCCCCGGGGGACACTGCCCTTGCATGCACTTCGGCGACCTGGCACTGGAGGGGGCTACCGCATGGATGCCTGGGGTGGCCCAGAGGAGCTGGGCCTGGCACCTGCACCCAACCCCCGGCGGGTCATGTCTCAGGAGCATCTTCTGGGTGATGGTGGCCGGGCTTCCCGCTATGAGTTTACGCTGCCTCGAGCACGCCTGGTGTCTCAAGAACACCTGCTGCTGTCCTCACCCGAGGCCCTGCGCCAGAGTCGGGAGCATCTGCTGTCACCCCCACGCAGTCCTGCACTACCCCCAGAGCCCACCACCCGGGCCAGCCTGGCTGCCTCGCACTCCAACCTGCTGCTAGGGCCTGGGGGACCCCCTACACCCCTGCATGGGTTGCCTCCATCAGGGCTGCACGCCCACCATCACCATGCCCTTCATGGCTCTCCTCAACCGGCCTGGATGTCCGACGTGGGTGGGGGTGGGGGCACACTGGCCCGCAGACCACCCTTCCAGCGCCAGGGCACCCTGGAGCAGCTGCAGTTCATCCCTGGCCACCACCTGCCCCAGCACCTGCGCACTGCCAGCAAGAATGAGGTTACTGTCTGAGGCCCTGGCTGAGGGCTGGGGGCTGAGGCCTCCCAGGCCAGCTCCTCCCAGCTGGATCCCAGACATAAGCTCATCACACACCCCAGGGGTATGACCAGATGGGCCCTTGGACCAGAGACCATGCCTCCTTTTGGGATACCACAGCGGATGAGATCTCTCTTCCTACTTTGTCACTGTTTGAAACAAGGCCTCCTTCCCATGATGTCATCACAGAGGAAGAGGCCTGTACACGAGGTCATCAAGAGGGAAAATGTCTGTGTTCTGTGATGTTGTTGCAGGAACTAAACCTCCTTCCCATGAGGTCACCACAGAGGAAGAGGCCTGCCTGTGAGTTCATCATTGAAGGCTATGTGCATTTTGCATGACATCACCACAGACTACTTTCCTGTGATGTCAGACAGACAATGCCTTGTCCCTTCCCATCATCTGTAGAAACAGAGACTCTTTCCCACCAAGTCACTGCGGAGACAGGTCTTGAGACACTTCTTGAGACTTGTTGACGTCATCTTGAGCTCCAAAGCCTCCTTTGCAATTCACATCACAAGGGAAACATTTTCCTCCTCTCTCTTTGCTATGGAGAAGACGTCTCCATCCCCCCAATGCCATCACCACAGACAAAGCCATCTTCCTGGGACACGTAGCAGGGGACCGTGCCTGCCAATTGTGTCCTCTCTAAAGATCAAACCCCCTTTCCACACCGCTGTCATGGGCCCTGCCTTCCTCCTGCAATGCCATCACCAGAGAAGGTGCCTTGCCCTATGGCGCCATCACAGGGACTGTGTCTCTTTGTGTAACATCATGACCAGAAATGACCACCTGCTCCCAGGACCTCTCCAGGATGAGGCCGTTCTGTGGTGTCCCCACCAGATGTCACTCACTTGAAGGCGACACTAGGAGGCACCTCCATTGCTGCACTGTGTTTCGAGAAGATGGGGCATGCCCAGTTGAGGGGCACCCTGGGAAGATGCCAGAGAAAGCGGGCTGTCCTGAAATGTAATTTGAGGGGTATCAACACCAGGGAGGCCCAGACAATGGTCCATCTGTGGGGTGTTGGTGGTGATGGCCTCCTTGCTTGGATATTGTCGCCAAGAGTTTCCTTCTCAGAGGCAGTCCCCACTCTGAGTGACCACTAATAGACATGGTGTCATCAGAGTCCTTGCCTCACTTCTCTGTACCTGGCTTGATGGCTTCTTCCCCTGACCCAAGGGACATGGCCAACAGGATGTCCACCAGCCCCTTTAAAGGGAAGTTGGGCCCGAGCAGTGAGTCCATGGGGATGGGATCCATGGATGAGCTTCTGCTCCAAGGAAGGCTGCTCTCACCCACCAGGCCCCTCCCTAGAGTCCTGGGACTTGTAGTTGTGCCAAAGGCTGGTATCACTCCTTTCTGCCATATCTGAAGACATTAACTCTGTCAACAAAGTCCTCACCTCCTATCAGAGGGGAAGGTTTGGGGTGTCCATGCTGCTGACTTTGCCAATGATGACATCAGTGCTAACCAGTGTCTGCCACTCACGTTGGCATAGCATTTGGAGTCAAATGTTAACCGTATCATTTCCCAGGATTCCATAAGACCCACCTCAACTAGCATATCATCTTCCAGGAATTACCTCTACCTACAGGGTCACCATCATTGTCCCCCAAGATTTCTCACAACCATGGTGTCCTCATCTCCCAGGATCACCAAAACATGCTGCTGTCATCACCTCCAAGAATCCACCACAAACATGCTGTCCCCATCATCTCCCAGGATCTAAATGGCATGTTGTCATCATCATCTCTTAGAATCCACCACAAACATCTGCTTTCATCTCCCAAGAGCCACCACAGCCATACCGTCATCATTTCCCAGAATTCACCACAGCCATGCTGTCCTCATTTCCCAACATCCACCACAGCCATGCTGTCATCGTCCAGGAGCCACTATGACCATGGTGTCCTTGTCTCCCGGGATGTACCATGACCAATGAGTTCCTTACCCTCCAGACGGTAGCACTATCTAGCACAGCTTGTTAGGACTAATGGTGCCAGTGTTCCTCACATGTCTTCATAACTGTGATGGTATCACTTCACAAAATCCACTTCAACTATGGTATCCTCATGTCTCATCTGTGATCTCACTTCCTGGGATTCAAGCAACTATGAATCATCAGCTCCCAGGATCCATGACACCTAAAAGTGTCATGAGCATCATCTACAAAAATCCATGAAAGCCATGGTGTCATCACCTCCAAGAACCCATTTCAACCACATCCCAACATAATTCATCAGGGTTCACTGTAATCGTGGTGCCATCACCTCCCAGCAGCCATAAGAGCCCATGGTGTCTTCATTTTCCAGGACTCACTTCAACTCCAGTGTCTCCATGTCCTAAGGTCCATGAGAGCCAGTGTGCCATCATCCACTGAGATCCACCATAACCATGGTGTCATCACCTCCTGGGATCAAGACAACAAATAGTATCATCACTTCTCAGAACTCACTTCAGCTGTGACATCATCACCTCCTAGGATCTATGACAGTGTGTCATCATCTTCCAGGACACACTACGACCATGTGCTTTCACCTGCCAGGATCCAACATCTTGGGGTCCAAATGCTGTGATGGGCTGTGTTCCAGTTGTTCTCCTGAGCCCCATGGCAGTTACAGTTCCTCCCTTCAGGGGACCAGCACAACAGGCCATTCTCCCATTCCCTCCAATGGACTACGGTGGAGCCAGCTGTCCCGCTCTGATATCACCCCCACTCTGGCCCTTCTTGATTATGTCACTGCCTCTACACTGAGTAGAAACCTGGATCAACCTCAGGCACAGACTTGGCCTTGGCCAGCCTCCTTTTGCCCACTGGTGAGGGCATCCACACTCTTCCTGATACCACCACTGCCCCTCACCCAGCCATCTGATCGGTGACAGGGTCAACCCAGTGACCTCTCCACAGCAGTAGAGGTGGGCTTCCCAGCCCCTGGATGACATCCCTGCCCCACCCCACCCAATCCCTGGTACTTGGCCCCTACCAGGATCAGAATTTGCTGGCTTGGGCCAAACTCTCCTCAGAGACCCTTGGCCCTGTTGGAAGGCCCCACAACTGATAAACCATTTGCTGACCTGGCCCTGGGGTGGGTACACCTGAGAGCAATGGTCCCTACCACCTGTCACCTGCAGGGTCCAAGGGTGCTCCCTCATCCCTCTCCCTCTCCCTAACACACTGGGGAGTGCCCAGGGACTTCAGGGAGTCCCCAGTACCCAGTGCACAATCTCTCCCTACCCTCAGTTCTCTGTACATATAGCCATGTTTCAGGGGGCGGCCATTCCCCATTCTTAAAGGGCTACATGCCCCCCTCCCAGCCCCCCAAGGCGAGGGGGGGGTCTTCTCCCTCCTCTGGGCCGCCCCCTCCCTCTTTTGCTCCCTCCCCTACCAAATATTGGCCCCTCTGCTCATCCCTTCTTACCAAGAGCCTGGAACAGACAACTGGCCTCTAGGCTGTCACCCCACTGGGAAAACTAGGAAGTTACCACCGATTCTCCTAAGCTCTGGTGCCAGGTTTCCAGTCTCCTAGCTAGTAGCAGCTGCCGTGGACACCCCCCATCTATTCTAGGACCTCCCCTTAAAGTACTTAACATTCCCACAGAACACTCAGCATTCTCCAGCCCCCAGCATTTAGGAGAATAGGGGGGTACAGGATATTTCTGCTTTTGTATTCTCTCTCTCTTCCTCTCCCTCCTTCCCTCCCTCTTTCCTTCCCTCACCTCTTCCAGCCCTGATTCTTTCCAGGAATCTACCCATCCCTCTTTTAGCCTCTACCCTCCATTCACCTGCCTGACCCTGGGGCCTTAACCTCTCATCTCAATAAAGCCATAGTGGGGAGAGGTCTCAAGGGTGGGCTAGCAGGCCCTGTTCTGCTCCCCTCACACACCCATGCTTCCAGAGCTGGGACCCTGCCTTCTGAGTCTTCCCCCTGCTCCCCAGTAAACACACAAACACATGTGGGCACAGCATGCACATCAGTGCAGGAAGGCATCTCCACTTCTGGCTGGGGGTTGAGGAGGGGGTGTCTGAGACAAGTGCCACACCAGAGGACTCTCCACACCTCTGTACTCCCCTTATTCCCCTCCCTACTCCTCCCTCCAGTGCTGGCCCCACCCTTAACTTCCTGGGGAGGACAGCAGGAGGACTTGGTATTTTTTTGGAATAAACAGTTGTTTTTCCTGATTTGCAGTGTCAAGGTTTCCTACTGGGAAAAGCCAGGCTCCACTTAGCTGTTCACTGGGAAATTGGGTACCTCCTCCCAATGTGTAGTGGAGTGTTGCCATGGCTACTGGCGTACTGACATTTGTCAAGAGAGGAGCTCCTAAAGATGTTTCCTGAATGTTACCCAAAAAACCGGGAGTCAGGAGCCTGAGAGATGGCTCAGTGGTTAAAAGCACTGGCTGCTCTTGCAGAGGACCTAGGTTCGGTTCCTAGTACCCACATGGTGGCTAATAACACTCAATAACTCCAATTCCAGGGGCTCTGACACCCTCTTCTGGTCTCCATGGGGACTGCATGCATGTGGTGAACTTAAAAACATGTAGGCAACACACTCATACACATAAAATAAAAAATATTTTTTTAAAGTTGAGAGTCATAGGAGGGGCATTTTAATGTGCTCTTCGGTTGTCATTTTTGTTTGTTTTGTTCAGAAAGGGTCTCACTATGTAACCCTTGCTGGCCTGGAACTCACTTTGTAGAACACACTAGCCTTGAACTCACAGAGATCTATCTGCCTCTGCCTCCTGAGTGCTGAGATTAAAGGCATTTTTAAAAAATATTTATTTATGGGGGCTGGAGAGATGGCTCAGTGGTTAAGAGCACTGACTGCTCTTGCAGAGGACCCAGGTTTGATT